ATGGTTAGCACTCATTTGAGTTGACATTTGACTCATCAATAGACAGACAATAGACAGGAAATGAAATTACAGACTATTGAAACATTTGTTTTAAACTTTGTTTTTTCATCAAATAATTTATTAACGGGGGGAGCGGGGGTTCATCTCGTATTTTAATAAATTAAATGAACAAAACGAGAAAAATTATCAAATCTACAATAATATATTTACTGATTCTGCGACCTATTGGCTATTATTGGGAATTAATAATAAGTTAAAATCAGTTTATGTTAATTTCCATTCTGCACACCAGCCTTTGGCAGGTTTTCATATATCAGGAACTGTTGAGATTGAAAACAATAAAAATTATTATGATATTATTTATTACAAAAGGACTGTCACTGAATTACTGTCTAAACCCTATGAAACAAATTGTTTTGATTACAAAAAAGCCCGTTTAGTGTCTAGAGATAAATGTGTAAAAGACTGTAGGGTTAGTGAATGGCAATTGATATTCAAGGGTTGGCCGAGTATATACCTCACCACCAATTTTACCAATGATTATATGTATGATTTGGTAAAAACATTTACTAGTAAGCTACCCACAGATATGATGATTGGCCAAAAATGCAAAAATAAATGTGATTTTGGCAAAGAGTGTACGACAGAGATGTATGATATCAAAAAGGCTAAAGTCTTTGCCCCAAACGATAACTTTTACTTATTGGTGACAAAACCCGTATCGCCGGACCTATTGCTCCGACACTCACCAAAACTTATATTTGAAGAGTTTGTGGCATTTATTGGGAGTCTAATCGGTCTATACTTTGGTTTCTCGACAATGATGTTGACTGACGTCTCTTACACTGCAATTAACTATTGCCTCAATAAATGTCAATTCAGACCAACAAATGTTTTTAACACTTTTCATATACAAAAAACTTTTGTATATTTCAAAAACAAAATAAATCCCTTTAAACTGCAGTCCTATTGATGTCATGTTTATATGGTGTTAGCTGTCATTTACCCTAATTTACCAAACAATATAATGTTTATTATTAATTCACATTAAACTAAATAAATGCAAATTTTTATTATTTATTTAAAGAGAGTGTAACAATATAATTTTAACGATATTAAAATATATTAAACTATTTTATTATATTTCTTCTCTAAATGTAATAAAAAGTATTTGCCTTTTTATGAAAAACAACAAAGTTATATAAAGCTTACGATATAATTTTTTATTGTTAATAAATAAATATATTTAACTTGATAAAATTTATTATTAATTCTAAATAAATAAAAATATAATAAATTGTAGAAATTACAAATTATACTTAAAATCTTGGAAACCACTGACAGTACATACCATTAGTTTATTATATAATCATAAAAGTGTTGTTTTGTTTTTATCAGAGTGTATTAAATACAACTTACAAAGAATGTTGCATAATAAGCAATATATTACCTTATTAATAATCACTTTATCATTGTTCAGACTCATCTACCTATTAATAAACCAAATCATATAAAGATATATAAATTTACATGTATTTTATAGTAAACATAATATGGTTTCATTCATAGTTTCATAACATGTATGAAATTTAATGTTGATTTAATTACCGGTGTATACAGTGGTAAACATAACCCATTATCTATTAGGTTGTATACAATATATTTTTATCACTTGTAAATTTAATAAATAATAAGAAATTTCTAATGAAAAGGGAAATATAGATAAATTTACACAATAAATATATGACAAAACAATTAAAATATCAAATTTTTCTTGTATATAAACGACGGCTGTTTTAGCTATTTTCATAACAAGCAAAACACAATTGCAATTAATATAACAATTGAGTTAAAAATATCAAATACTTTGAGTCCTCATTCAAACATGCGTTCACTGATTGTTGTATTGGCTCTGATTTTCGTCGTCTTCGCTATCGGTATGATTGCAATCATTTAAAATTAATTGTAATTTTATTATAAATTAAAATAATTATTCGGTTTATTATTTTAAATATTAGGCGACTCTAAGAATGTTAACCAAAAATACGCGGAGACCATAACTAAGGTTAGCAAAGATGTAAAGGCAACGTTTGCTCATGAATTTAAGCAAGGTAATTATAGAGAATTAAATTGTAAATTTATCTTATTAAAATTAATTTATATTGTAGGCTCTAATGTGACCACATTTGCTCAAAATGCCAATAACTGTTGGGTGTGTTCGAGTCCCTGCTCTATGATATACTGTTGTGATGACGGGTACCCCCAGTGCTGTGTTGTGGGCGGTTATTGTGCCTGTTGTTCACATTAATCTAAATATAACGCATTGAATATTAAATTTATGAATTTGTAAATTAAATCTTTTTTTTTAAATAAACACTAATTTTGTAAATCAAACCAAATGATCCAAATGTTATTTAATATTTAAACTCCAGAAATAAATTGATAGTTATTTGTAATAAATACAGAGCCCATAGACAACACACATTTAATTTACTTTATGGAGTCTGAGAGTTAGTTGTTTGTAAATAAAACTAGTATTTTTTAAATAACTCTAAAATAAATTTATTAGTATTACTATTTTTAACTCAATCAAGTAAAATACAACTAAAAATATAAAATAAAAAGGTAAAAATGCAAAAAAAAGTCTACGACACCGGGTATTCCCAGGTGGTCTCCCTCCCAAGTACTAACCCGGCTCGACGCTGCTTAACTTCGGTGATCGAACGAGAACCGGTGCTTTCAGCGTGATATGGCCGTAGACATCAACCCATACACCTGTACTGCTATGCATTGCTATTATAGCTATTGTACGCATGCGTACAATC